GCAACTGGAAACCAAGAAACTAGGTGCTACGGAGTAGTTTACTGTAGGAGGCTGTACGAGGCGATGACAACTGACATGCATCGTAACGTCGGTTACCAAGGCAGTGACGTCATTACAGTGTGACGTCAAGCAAATATTGTACTACAGTACAAACTCTTCCGCAACCTCTTTATGAAACCGGTTTTGGTTTGAAACCAAAAACATAACAAAATGAATGTAAGACGTGGGTAATGAATAAAATACCACACTCGGTCTCATTACATACGAATTATACGAAACTCGTGACCTTCCTATGGTATCTGACCTCGCTTTCGCTCGGTCAGATACAATAGGAATGACACTCGTTTCGTATAATTCGTATGTAATGAGACCTCGTGTAGTATGCTCTATTGCTCGGCAGTATACCTAGTGAATGAGGGAGTATTCTGAAAAGCGCTTGAACAGATATGCCACGGTGTGCCTGTTTGACGTGTGAAGACAGCCCGAAGTAAACGTTTAGCACTTTGGCGAGACCCACAAACACAAATGTATAAAACACAATCGGGTATCGGGATTCGAATCGATGATGTAGGCATCTTACACACCCAAGGGACGCCAATCAGTGCCTCGGGGCAAATCCAGTTTGCAGGTGAGCTAAGCAGTTGCAGTGAATGAATATGGTTTCACGCCGCTTTTAACAGTATTACCAGAAATGGGCTTTACATATTGTACCTGTGTTGGGATTCGAACCCGGACTTTGGCGTGACGAGCGAACGCTTTAACCACAAGGCTACCACACCGCCCTTAAACAGTTGGATTTGGTACTGATATGATCAGTATGCTGGAGTAAAGCCCGTGGTGACGCAGAACCATAGGCGCCCGGCTTTGATATATTTATAAGTATGACCTATACATATAAGATATAAGAAAGGTGTGTCAGTAAATCGAAACAAAATGGCGGCTCGACTCGCCCCGGCTCGGTTTCGGTCTGACAAACACTTCCATCGCTTTGACCGTTAAATAAACCGCACAATTTATATTCAGTTGACCTCTGTAAAGTACCTTGCGTATCACTAACCTGGTGATTTTATTCCCATTTAAAGCTTTCAATAATTTTGCTGTCCACTCTCGCACAAAGTCAGGACATATGCCCGGAAGTAAACAAATCTCAGGCTACAGACCCGCACCGAATGTAGAGCGAGTCTCTGATTGGATAATATAAATGCACGTGAAAAATGGTTGGAAATTTAAAATCGATATTTTATGCAATATATATTTGCAAGCCAGCATGAAAACAGTTCTAAGAAGCCAACATGGATAGTGCAAATTTTATTTCATGGTGAGTAGTTTGTTTTATTATCATGTGTAGATCCCTTAAATAAATGCACACTAATAACATGAACAATCAATTATCAATATTTATTGTAATAATATTACTAATTTTTACATGTTATTGATATAACAATACAACAATAAACTGTTCAGAAGCAAACAAAGCACATAGCAAAACATAATTTACTAAAATTATAACATTGCAAACTGGAGATACCATGATTCATTTTTATATAATCAGCTATAGATATTCGGATAAGTTTGACTGAGCATGACAATGATAGATTTTCTACCCCAATCAAAAGCATTGGTAAATAATATTGATGAAACATTTGTAAAAAATGTAAAATATAAATATTTAAACATTCATATTTGTTCTTTGAATACATTATAAATTTAATTTCAAGACTTATAGAAAAGTAGTTTGAATTGTTAAAGCTTCGCATTTAATAGAACTATATTAATTCTAAATACTTATAAGTGTTTTCCTGTTGGGGCGTCTTACCTATTTTTATCTTTCCAAATTATTATTAACAACAATCTTAGCAAATTAATTGCTGAAAGGTCAACTAATTAATGAAATAAAAATGACCCAATGAGAATATTACTATTGATAATGCCCTCATACCTTTTGCTAAAAAGCTGCTTTCTTCTTCTCTCTAAAGCTTTTCTTTTGATGAAATAGACAGAACATATTGACCTTAAAATTATCTTTTAAAAAATTCAAAACAGAAAACAGTACTCAGTCAAATATGTCAGCAACAAAAATCACAATTGAGAATAATGATGATAAACTGGATTTGAAGAATTACATATATGATGTGATCTCCATGAAATATGTTCCAAATGGTATTAGTTGTATTTGCTACATACTTTATATGTACAGTACTGTGATCACTTTGGAGATTGGATTTGGAAGAAACCTGAAAATATTTCAGTAAATATGTAAAGGGTTATAATGAATTCTGTTTATACTCAATTACATTGCACCCTAAACAAATTAAATAGGTTTTGTAACTTTTTAGAACATAAAAAGTGTAGTGACATATTAAAAGTGGAGTGCTAAAATGACATTTGAACAATTTATATTTGTTGCTTATCAATGTTACGTTATTCAAAATTATCTTATCATAGGTCACTGCATTTTCTCCATCACAAGAGATACAAGCCCCAAACAAATTGATTTTTAGAAAAAACTTTCAAGTATGTTGGAAATAGTGTTACTATACAAAATCTAAAAAAATATACATTATCAAACAAAACATACTCACTTTGTAATCATGCTCTATAATATGTTGTTTATTACAGGCTGCATAAGAATTATGTAGCAGATGAAAACCAAGAAAAACCTGTTGGTACAATCATCAATAAAATACAGACACAATTTGGGAACAATTTAAAAAATTGTAGAGCTATTGGGAGATACATTTCAACAGCTTTTCCTTCAGTAAGAAAGGTCAAAGTCCGTGACCGTAATGATTGGATGAAGGAACTTATGGTTTATAAAGGCTTGGGGGACAGAGTAAAATAAGCTGAAGAATGTCTCTTATCAATACATGACATAGTGAAAATACTCCCACCTGAATTCTTCATTCTAAGTCAGGATAACACACAAATCACTCTGGGCAAATCTACTTCAGAAAAATGCAATGGCAACACAGTCATTATGAAACTAATAATCTCAATTGATGGAACAGTGGACATTCAAATTGGAGATACAAGTGTTACGTCCCAAAGCGGGATAGCAAATTCAGTGTCAATGGAAAAGTGTGCAATACAAAGCTTGTTGTGCTCAGTTTCCTCCATTAGGTTATGCCAAGGCATACCATTTGATAAGTCCAATGAAAATCAGGAAAACATTCATGTTCAATGAAACAAACATGATCAACGCATCATGATGTCAATGTCATGCAAAAAGGTGTTGACCTTAATAATTGGAAAGGAACCACAGCGTGTAAAAATTGTCGCTCTATCTTGAGTAAATCTATGCATACTAATGGGAATGATACTAACACAACTACATTCACAGAACTGTCAACGGATGAGCCAAACAGAGTTCCCTGCATCCCCCCTCCCTACTCCCCTTCCCTCATCCAGTGCATGCACATGATTCCTATACCATCAGAGGCATATTGTCAATATTGAAACATAAGGCACCCTACCTTACAAACAATCAACTGAAACGCATTGAGTATCAATTGTCTAATTCAAGAACACAAGAAAAACACAGTCGACGGTGGGATAGCAGTATAATCCAGCTGTCTCTGGCCATGGGGACACGGAGTCCTAAAACATACGAACAGCTACTCCAAAGTGAAAGCTTAGTAATACCCTCCACACGCACACTATCACATTATAAGAATGCATTTGAGCAGGGTCCTGGGATAAACTCTGATGCATTCCGCTGGCTAGACATGAGGAGTTACCTACACACGGCTACTGTGGTGGCTTGATCCTTGATGAAATGTCAATTCAAGAAGACCTCCAGATTGTCCGGAAGAATTGTAACATCAAACTGGTTGGATTGTCAGATGAGACATGTTCCGGCTCTGAGTTAGCCACCCACGTGCTCCAATTTATCTTTCATGGTTTGACAGGCTTTCGGTTCCCGATTGCACATTATCCAACAAAACAGGCAAATGCTGCGCAATTGTACTCCTGTTTCTCGGATGTCATTGCCAAGCTTGAGGAGTGGAATTTTAAAGTTCTTTACTGTTTTATTGATGGTGCCTCAAACAACCGTGCATTTTTCAAGACACACTTTACTGGTTCACCTGTTGACCATCACATGGCAGCATTCAATCCATGCGGCGATGAGCCTGTCGTCTTTCTTGCAGATCCGTCACACCTCTTTAAAAGATCCACAACAACATCTTGAAGAGCGGTATTGATACATGGCACACTAGGGAGTTGCTTGTGGACAGCACGCCTGTTCTCTGGAAGATGTGGGAGGACAGCTACACATGGGACAAGCAGCACAGTTTGTCTATCCATCACAAACTAAGCAACGAGCACATACACCCAAATCAGGCTGAGAAAATGCGGAATCCAATGGCAGAGGAGGTGCTGGATGACAACATGCTGAATTTGATGAGACACTACTAAAGTCACCTTGGCGAGAAGGGATCCATTCTTCAAGGAGCTGTGACATTTCTCGAGCAAACAAGTCAGCTCATCAGCATTTCCCATGACTGTAGACCCATCACCTGTGAAAGTGATGTGAGGATTAACAAGTTAAGGCACATTCTCAATTGGTTCATATCATGGGAGAAACATGGCAACACCCGAAACCTCATGTCATGGGAAACAAGGGAGGATGTGGCTTATCTCATTGTTGGATTCCTGAAGTTGGTGTCTGTGGCTACAAAGTCCCTCCACGTGAATGTGACACCACTGCACATTAACAGTGACATTGTGGAGAAGCTATTCTTACAACAAAGAGGACTCTATCATGGGGCAGGAGCCAACCATACATACATCCAGTGCCGCAGTTCCACCAACAGCATCATTCTTTCGGAGACCATCATTTCAAACAAGTCCAATGCTTCTCGAAGGAAGAGTACCTCTAATCCTGCTGCACTCGCATTCCCTCAGCTCTGCAAAAATCAAGAATACAACAAAGTAAGTGTGCTTTCCTCTTTTTTCAGTTCAACATGTCTAATAGCATACAATTCTTTCCACGGCAGAATCAGCAGAATGGACAAAACCATGGGACCTCTTCAGTTGAGAATTTCTCCCAGTCCTTTTCGTACTTGATTCCCCCACAAGATCGATGGTACCACTGGTCACAATTGCTGCAGCTGATCCATTAGACTCTCTATTAGAATGTCCCTTTTTTCAACTTGCTTAGGGTGAGTCCTTATGCTGCACCAATACGGACAAGCTCTTCCTTTGTGAATATGGCCAACTGCTTTACATCCTGAATCACAGTGCCTTTCAACTTCAAATGTGAAACTTGCTTTTCTTTTCGACTTGTCATCCTTCAAAGCTGATCCTTGAACCTTGGATGTCTTTTTCAGAAGAACTTGCTTGCGGTGTTCCAATGTCTTCATCCTCCCCATTTCATCAAGCAATTTCCTTCTGAACTCTGAATCTGTGACATTCAAGTACCTGTTCACAATTTGGGTGAACAGATCTGTGACAATGCTGCATCCAAGGGTAAGATCTTCCAGTATGCATCTGATGTCTTCTCGCCCCGTTGGAAACCATGCCAAGATAAACTTTACAAACAGGCCAGCAACTGTTTGAAATAAAGACGTATTTGCCAGAACACATGAATGGATATGTGTCAACAAATCTGATTTGTATTGGTCCAAATACTTCTGCCCATACAATGGTAATCTCTTCTTTTCCAGTAAAAGGAAGAATGCAAAGCATTCGTCTGAGATGTTGGTGTTTTCTTGACACTTCTGCGAGGCTAGCGGGATACTTTGTTCTGTCAACAATGTCCATATGTGCAGTTGTTAGAGATTGGAGCATGTCCACTTTCAGCTTGCTTTTGACGACAAGTTTGATCCTGAGGGCATGAAGAGAATTCCTAACGAGGTTCATGTAGTGGTTTTTCAGTTTTGCCACTGTAAAGCCGGCCTCATATCTCACTTTAGAATATCCAGTTTCTGGTATATCAGCTTCGCCCTCAGTGACATCCATGTGAATTGATCCCAAGTCCGCCTGGAGTGATCTAGCTGATTTCTGAGCAGCTGTGACATCTGTCCTGATGGATGTAATGATGTCCCACAAAAGAAGCTTATTCACAGGTAAAGGTGAGAGCAGTTCACGAGAACTTTTTTGATAATAATGTGTCAAAAGGTAGGCATGGAACTTTTTCATGAAAGCTGTTTCATCTTTCACCTTCTTTCCTGCGCCACACTCAGTGAAAAGTCTGGTTATTTTTTGGTGTTGATCCTCAAAGAAAAGCTTCAACTTCTCTGGATTTCTCTGAAGAAAAACAATGGCTTCATTAATGCTCTGCTGCTGCGGTGTTACAGCATTGTCGGTTTTGAACGACATCAGAATACCTTGAACCTGACAGTCTTGGTATCTTGCTTCAGCTGACAGTGCTGGGACCTCTGGAGCAGCCTGAAACCAGTTGATATGATTTTTTAAGAAAATATACATACCTGAAATAATGGTTTCATTTGTTAACTAAATAATCTAAATAAAAGGAAAATTGATATGTTGGATAATTGGAGTAGAAAGGAAATGTATATTAACATATGACTTCATCATAGGAAATGAGATATCTCAGTGTTACTCGCCTGTGTAAGATACTGCACTGTAATATTTCCTTGGCAATATGAAACTAGTGTCATACCACTGCACGTATGACTTCATATTTGTTGACAATTATGCCGTCAAAATGTTATTATGGCCACAATGGTATTTGACTAGTGATAACCTAAGTGTCAACACACTTTATTTCACTTGATTTTTTATGGTAGGAAATAAATAAAATACTTAACTTGTTCCTGTGAAATACATTTGTTATTAAACCTATGAAAGATAAGTATCAAACTTGTTGTCTGTCGCTTTATTCCAAATCATTAACACGTCTATTGCAAATGGTATTACACTGGTGTTCGTTTAGTTCAATTTATGTACAATGTTCGCCTTAAATCAAACATTTAATATCGGTTCATTTTAGTATTAAGATTATCTACAAACTATTTCACTAATGCTAACTTGTAAAATGTCACTTACCTTATTTCTAGATTCTGCTTCCGCTTCAAATTCCAAGTTTGAAATTCTGTGAAGGTCATTGTCATCATAGTCGGATTCATCGGAGAAATCCATGACATCAATGGCTTCTCTTGAGGGAGCAACCATGTAGAGTATTTGTAACAAATAATGACATACTCAACATGGATATAAAAATTTGGGGATTGTTTGTATGAATAATAATTGCTTTGGTAATTATCCAGAAATAGATGTTTGTTTACAGCCATGGCAGCTCTTTAAGAGTAGCTGTGCATTTTTTTTTATTTGGTTTCTGCTAATGATTCCCAAATGCTGGCAAATCTTGTGCAGCAATATCATGCTTTTCCTATAATTCCATTATGCGCTTTGCTTACCTCATCACAACATGACATGTCATCGTCCTTCACAGGAAGACCAGGCTCATCGAAGAAGCTGTAAACTTCTTCTTGGTGTCTTTTTGAGCACTCTCTTTTGTAGTTCAGTACGGCTGCCCCAACAGCTCGCCCAACTGCAGCACCCAGTTGCCCCGGGTTGAAAATGTTCTTACAGTTGACTATAAGTCTGGGCAGTGTCAAACCCTGTGCCTTATGCACTGTAAGCGCAAATGCAGGCGCAATAGGAAACTGTTCACGTTCTGCTTCACCAATGTTGCAGCTGTCCACCACAGAAAACATCACTGTCTTCAGTTTCATTGAGCAAGCTGGAAATTGGACAGTTGGTCCGTCTTCGTCAAGTCTAGTCACAGTGCCCTGCAAACCATTCACTAGACCTTGTCCTAGATTTCTTAACAGAATAACCGGACAGTTCACTTTCAAGCTGAGCACCTTCTTGGCTGTTGTTAGTCTCAGCTTGCTGACAACTCCAGAATCTGTTGATCTATAAATCATGACATCTCCAGGTAAGCTTGAAATTTCACTGGCATTGTGCCAATCCACTTCAAAATTTGTCCCGTATAATGTCAATGGTTTGTCACCAGGGGCCAATGCTCTGGAGAGGCTTTCCATAAGCCTATGGGTTGACTCTGACGGGAATCCCCTTTCAAGTTCATTTACCGCAGCAATAAGTTTATGATCTTTCTGTCGCATAACCTCAGTTAAGACGACTTTGTGCTTTATTGCATCCCTCCAAACATCAGCCAAAAAACATTGCCGTCCTGGATCGTTGTTGAGAATGTTTGCGACAGGTGTCAGCTGAAACCAATCACCAACAAACACAACCTGCAGGCCTCCAAATACACATCTGTCTTCCCTCAGCTTTCTGCATATGTATTCAACCTGAAAAGAGAAAGGTAAACCATAAGAATATTTCTTAATAAAAGCTATGTTTAAAACAGTGACCATTCCATGTTATTTCACAATATTCACTTCAATTCACAGAAGCCATAACCAAAATCAATAGATCATGATAGACAATATCGCTCTTGTTGGTCTCGAGAATTTTGTAAGTATAAAGTTCATTACAAGAAACATTACATGGACAACTCACCCACTACTGCACATGTAAGTTGTAACATTACTTATGTCCTTTATGGAAATGGCTAAAACATAACGATTACTTATTAATGAAAATATCACAGAAATATGTCTGCATTTCCAATGACATGGCATTGTACTTGAGAAGCCATTATCTTTTGAAGAGTGAGTGAGTGAGTGAGTATGATTTTACGCCGCTTTAAGCAATATTCCAGCAATATCACGGCGGGAGACACCAGAAATGGGCTTCACACATTGTACCCATGTGGGGAATCGAACCCGGGTCTTCGGCGTGACGAGCGAACGCTTTAACCACTAGGCTACCCCACGGCCCCATCTTTTTGAAGAAATGACAGTATACCTATGGTTTCAAATTCTTTTAAACTTTATATATGAAAACAGTATAAAATTTCACAAATATCTTTTACAACACCAGTGGAAGCAATCCTTAATGGTTATTAATGGACACTTTGATGTTATTACTTCCGCTGGATTAAAATAAGCAATACTTTCTTCACCTGTCTATTGACATACGTGTCTATATTTCTTTTCATCCTGCAAGTCATAGTTACTTACATTTTCCCTTACAATTTCTTTCAAAGAAAAAAGTCTGATTAAAAAAAAAATATGGTTTGAAACACAGCTTCTATGGTTTCTGTACAATCACAATTTTTTATTGCTAGGTATATTGTTGCAATTTTATATTCATGTACTGCTAGGTATCTATATATACTACATATGATATATTTTACCGACCTTTCAATGAAATCCTAGTTGTTATTATAATTATTCAAGCTTGTGTCAGTTGACTTAACATGCTTAAGCTACCTAACAACTATTTTTTGGAACAACAACACATTGGTTTGGGCTAGCCAGAGACCATATACCGAGGAACATAAATGAAATATTCCTATGATTCATTGATTGTCAAACATCTTTCATTATATTAATATCTGTTTGGCACATGCCCGTTCAAGCTGTAAAGCTTGTTCACCAATCCCAATTCATTTTTTACGAATAAAAATATGTTTAAACCACATACCTGTTCAAAAACGTGAACACTGATAATGCTACTTTCACCAGCAATCAATACATCGGTGGATCGTATCCTGAGCACAGTTGAATAATATTCTTTAGATGACAGTCTCTTCAACAAATCTTCGTTTGTAAACCGGCCATCCTGCCATCCACACCATGAATGGAGGGTTGTCCCATTTGGAAATTGAGTGGCAGCGATTCCCGTACTCGCAACCACAGCGACGCGTTTTCCCTCGACAAGTAACCGTGACTGAGTTTCTCTAATCAAAGCCGATTTACCAGTGCCTGCTTGTCCTAATATCACGAGATTATGTCCATCATCAATTGCTTTATAAGCACAGACCTGATCATCGTTCAAAAGAACCATGATCGACATGATTTCAATCGATAATCAAATGTCAGATTGCCTCGCCATTACAAACGTGGTTTTGTTATGGCTTCGAATAATAGAAGAAGCTATCCCAATCAGAGACTCGCTCTACATTCGGTGCGGGTCTGTAGCCTGAGATTTGTTTACTTTCGGGCATATGTCCTGACTTTGTGCGAGAGTGGACAGCAAAATTATTGAAAGCTTTAAATGGGAATAAAATCACCAGGTTAGTGATACGCAAGGTACTTTACAGAGGTCAACTGAGTATAAATTGTGCGGTTTATTCAACGGTCAAAGCGATGGAAGCGTTTGTCAGACCGAAACCGAGCCGAGGCGAGTCGAGCCGCCATTTTGTTTCGATTTACTGACACACCTTTCTTATATCTTATATATATAGGTCATACTTATAAATATATCAGAGCCGGGCGCCTATGCGCAGAACAACTGACAACCAACCTATCGTGAAATGAACATGTGTAGTTTCACGCCTATCGGATCCTGAGGCGGTTAAGGGAAGCAACTCTCATGTTTCACTGTCTCACAGTCCCTGAACCGCATTATTTTCTCAACTAGGTATAGCCATCCTGCAATGCTAAAGACCCCAAATGAAGCAAGTCTAGAATACCTCAGGTTCTAATCTCCCATCTCACTGGGGTTCCTTTTCAATTACATTTGTGTATTTGGGAATATGTGTTACTATCAAAATTATATATATTCAGACACTAAGTTTAAATCTACTTTTGGGTGCAGTATTAATTCGTGCTACCTTTTACATCACTAGCTATTCTAACACATTGTAGTGATCATTGAGTAACGAATTAATAATCCTGCTATTTCTAGTAATAATACGAAAGTGTTAGCTATTAATCACCTCGAAAAATGTCGCACACAAGGCCACAATCGAAAGGCCGTTACACGCGAATCTTTATGCACCGCAAAGACTGCTCATGCGAATCGGATTAAAACCACAAGTAAATGTTTACGTCAGTGTAATACCCGTGTAATTAGCCTGATACAGGACAACGACATCTGTTCAAATAAGTAAAATATGTAATTTCAATGTGTGTGCTCGTGATCGTATCTGGGTGTCATTTTCATTATCTGGCCGGGCTGTGAGTTGATGCCAGATTATCTGGTTGATGTCAACAGAATCGGCGCTCGCCGCTCCAAACCGGAGTATGGTTGTTGTGTATACATGTTACAGCCTCCGCTCGTGCATAGACATTTGTCGTCTGCTCCTTGATTTGACCTACTTTTGGGGTTATTAAAAGTTTCGTCCGGAGCAAGGATCACGCATATTCGGCTTTAGTTGTTCAGGTGTGAGGATAGTTTCAACACGAAGACAAGGTTAAGTCACCGTCCACGATGTCTGATGTAGTGTACGATGTTGTGGTTGTGGGAGCCGGCGTGGAGGGGTCGGCATCAGCCTATTACCTGGCCAAGAGGGGGAAGAAGACGCTGTTGTTAGAACAGGTAAATTCCATATGACTTTGTAATCGTTTACAAATAAATTAGCAAGTGTATTAGAGACGATTTACGTAGCGTTTATCGAAATTCCTACAAAACTTAACGGCAAAGTCGCTTTCATTTAGTGTCTAGTCCCCGTATTGACCAGATGCGATGTGAGATGAAATGGGGTTTAACGTCGCACTTAAGAATGTTTCGCTCATATGCATGTTGGGCTGTTTGTACTAGCCTAGTCTTAAGCTGGTTTTATAGTGCTAGCTCACTGAGATACCATGCCGCAGTTAAGCATGAATGCCCCACTCAGACACATTATACTGACACCGAGCCGACCAGTCCTTGTTGTACCCATTAATGCCGAGCGCCAGGCAGGGACCAACAAGTACCATATTTTAACGTCTTTTGGTATGATCGCGACCTGCGGTGTTCCGCTCTCTGGGGCAGACGCTCCATTCCTCCACGCACGACCACGGAGATGGTTAGATGCGACGTCATCAAACATGGTTAGTATGGGTTGTATGAACCCACACACGAGACAATGTGGTGTTGGTGCTGACCCATTTGGTATGGGATATCATTACCATACCTCCACACATACTTATCCGCCTAGTGGTTACAACGTAACGCTAATTAATAAACAGCCATCTGTTGTCTGCGCTAGTACGATCACTGACACACACGAGTTTAGTTCTCGCCGTACGACAATAAACCCATTTCACGTCACACCAGAACTCACCTGCACACACATGCCCAGCACAGACAGGTCTTCTCATGACACACGAAACACAGGCTACCTTATCAATATAAGAAATACAATTTTTAACGCTAGATAACTAAGCGCCATCTGTTGTCAGCTCACAAAGTTCTAAAATATTACCTGAAAGAAAGTTCCGTTCAACCTATCATGTATCTGCAGATCAGAGCACAAGTCCGCTTTGACATCACCGTCGCATGCTTTGAACGTTTTGATGAATATTCAAATGTTTCTTGAGAACGATGGACGTGGCCTCACCTGAATAAATAAACAGAAAGTTTATCTGACTACTCAAATTCTCTCTTTTAAACATAGATAACCCGGGACTTTGAACTGATATAGGAAGGGGTACAATGTACTCAAATTCTCTTTTTAAACATAGAGGGGACGGGAGGTACAATGTGTGAAGCCCATGTCTGGTGTTCCCTGCCATGATATTTCTGGAATATTGCTGAATAAAACCCAAGTCACTACTTTATTCGTTACATAAAGGCGACATAATCTAATACAATCCGTTAGGTTTCGGATTGTATTGGCGTAATGGTGATTTTGCAAGTTAATGATATAAGTTTTCCAACGATGACATTGAATGATCCATATCTTTGCACAGCTCAGTGTAATGGTTGTCAGAAATTTAGTGATTAGACAAAAACAGAAAAACAAAGAAATAAAAAAAAAACCAAAAAAAAACCCACATGATCCTACGCCTGTAACATGTGAGTGAGTGAATGTTGTTTTACGCAACACTCAGCAATATTCCAGCTATATGGCGGCGGTCTGTAAATAATCGTGTCTGGACCAGACAATCCAGTGATCAACAGCATGAGCACCGATCTGCGCAATTGGGAACCGATGACATGTGTCAACAAAGTCAGCCTTTGACATGTGATGACTTATGAGTATTCGTGTTCATGCGCACCTTCACGTGATCGTGTTCACCCTTTTGTCCACCTCGTCATCTGAAGAGTTCGTTATACACAAATGTGTCTCTTAGGCGTGCCGGGGTGTTGGGTAGCCTAGTGGTTAAAGCGTTAGCTCGTCACCCAAAGACCCAGGTTCGATTCCCTACAAGAACACAAGTTGTAAAGCTCGTTTCTGGTGTTCCCAGCCGTGATGATGCTGGAATATTGTTACAAGTGGCGTACAGCCTAAAGCACTTAGGCGTGCCAGAAACTTGATCATGGTTCGAATCCTGCTTCGCTCTGAACATATTTCTATGCTTGTCAGACCATACCCGAGGGTGTGGGTTCAGGACGTCTAAGACCTACTTAATCAAGCTGACACGTTGTCAACCTGTTAAAATAATGATGATGAAACTCCCGAAAGTTTCGTTAAACCGGCGTACTCACTCACGCACCTAGCAATGTAAAGGGTGGGGTAGCCTAGTGGTTAAAGCGTTCGCTCGCCACGCCGAACACCTGGCTTCAATGCACCATACGGGTACATATTGCGAAGCCCTTTTCAGGTGTCCCCCGTCGTGATATTGCTGGAATATTGTCATAAACGGCGTAAAACCATACTCAATCTGGAATGTGGTTGAAACGGCGTAAAACCATACTCACTCACTCACACCAAGCAGTGTAATGTAAACAGACGGTAGTGTTCCCCTGGTCTCGTGATAACGGTATCAGCGATCGAGATCTTGTGTTGGGTGATAGTGTACCAACCGCTTCCGCCAGGAGCTGGATTAAACTGGCCACAACTGTGGATCTGACCCGTCACATGCGTCAGTTGCCAGCTGTGATAACAATGAAGTTCAGTTTTTATTTTTGTCGGTCATAGTGACGGTGTTTTATTTAGAATACTTTAGAAGTATAACAAAGAATGTAATTAAGCACCTCCTGTTTTTTGCAATGATAGGTTTTCAACACGTACATGAAACTTTCTGACCCGTATGATCACTTGACTCATAAAAAACGACAAAATGGTTGGAATCGATGTTGATTTTATGATGATAATTGCTCATTTTAAAAAAAACACCACTGATTTTCATTCAAAACCATGTCTGTACAAGTATGGCCCTGGAATGTTAAATGTTGAACTTATTGGTGAATGTGAACATTCAAAATGTCATTTTGGGTGTGTTACACAATTCACAGTCAACACTGTGACTGTATATGACAGCCAGCACACTCCTCCTCATACCCCCTGTCAGCCTCCTGATCCTCTGAAGGGGCAGTCTATGCCATTCCTCGTGTAGAGCAGCTTCCAACTGGGCCAGGTTCTGTACAGGAGGATCCCTTTGTTGCACATGATGACCAATCATGTCCCAGACATGCTCCAACGGGTTAAGATTTGGGCCCATTCAATCGTGAGACATGTCAGGGGTGCTTTAGTAAGTTCTTTGTGTACAGCAGCATCTCGTTTAATGTATCAGCGGAATTGATTCCTTAGTAAACATACCCATGCACATGTTTACCACTTTTGACTGCTTCTCGTACTTACATTGGGAGGTGGAGTAGCCTAGCGGTTAAAGCGTTCGTTCATCTCACGGTTTTATTCCCTAAACTCATTCGCTCACTCACACATACCCTTGACATTTTGTGAAAATGAAACATAAAACAAAATGTATGTGTCTCATTAATTAATGGTTTCACGATATAATCTTGACAAATTCTAATTGTATTCACGGGACAAATTGTTTTCAGCATAAATATATTCATGCAAGAGACAGATATATTTGATATTTCAGCGAGACATAAATTCAACAACATGCTGTTATCATCAGATAAGGTGCGGTAAAGAACTATGAATAAATCTAAAACTATCACAGAACAAATCACGCAAGTGGAACCTTTACAATGGCTTGCCACATCGATTGTGCACAGTCTGCATACGAAGTAATTATTATTATAATTATTATTATTAGAACTATAACAGTAAACAAACTGTGTTGTTGGATCTGTTTTGACAGGATTCCCGTTCAATTCCCTTACTCCACGCAAAAACACATTTCATTATAGAACATCCTGATGAACAACACAATGATTCAATTCTTTCGGGGCTTGTCAAGCATAAACAGTTTCGTTTACTCATCGGTCGCAATATACATGATATAGTGAGGTGAGGTGAAAGTGGGTTTAACGTCGTGCTTGAGAATATTTCGCTCATATGACGACGTGCATGCGTGTGTATGTGTATGTGCGGCTGCTTGTACTAGCCCAGACTCAAGCTGGTTTTATGGTGCTAGCCCACTGAGATACCATGCCGCAGTTAAGCACGAATACCCCACTAAGACACATTATACTGATTCCGAGTCGACCAGTCCTTGTTGCACCCATTAATGCCGAGCGCCAGGCAGGGACCAACAAGTACCATATTTTAACGTCTTTTTGGTATGACGCGGTCGGGGATCGAACCCGCGACCTTCCGCTCTCCGGGCAGATGCTCTAACCACTACACCACGGAGGCGGTCTATACATGATATATGAATATTTGTTTATTGGAATTATTTCATATAATCAGAAGTATATGTCACATGACAAAACTAGCATATTTGTCATTTTACAGATTCTCGGCTTCTTCGTTCAACGAAAGGGCGGTGAGGCAGCACTGTGGTTATAGCGTTCGCTAGTCACGCTGAAACCCCGGGTTCAATTCAACACATTTCTAGTGTACACCGCCGTGATATTGCTGGAATATTGCTAAAAGCGGTGTAAAACCAAACTCACTCACACACATTTACATATGTTTACATATGTTACATATGTATATGTTTTTGCCCAAAATTACCCTCTCTCTAATAATTAGCAATTCGAAACCACCTCCATCACCTCAACACTCGAATATTACATGATCTCAACTGTGATCATGCATTGGTCCAAACCCACAACCAAACAATCTCTTAAACGCACCCAATGTTCTTGAGCAACTTGTTTGTTTATATTTCATTATCTATACTGTCTTGACATATCAAACCTATAAACGCGTTCCTATGTCGTACGTAAATCTATGTAGGTCATCCGTTTTTAATACGCTATCAGCTCTGCACTTAAGCACATGCATATCTGAAGGGACCGACCATGATCATTTTTTTTAAAACAACTGTTAACAAGATATTTTCCCACGGGGTTGAAAACACCAGTTAGCTGTCCCACACAAGAACATTTTCGGCAAATTCGGTGTTCTGTGAAATAAAAATATTTTCCACGAATACTAAGTGGTCGCCCCTAACATACATAAAATATCATAATCGCATTCACAATGTGATGTGAAAATCCCTACAAGTATGTGAGTTTTTAAAAAGTTTATACACCAAACGAAAGGGCAGTATTTCGCAAAGATACTAATGCTAGAAAATGATGAAACGTGTGTATTATTTTCGTAGTCAACTTTACTTTGTACATTGTACCTTTATCTTGAAATGTATTACGAAGACATTGGCATTTTTTGACGTGGTCTTTCCAGTACAACCCGTGAAGATCCGGGTTAGAATTGGTCTTCAGCAACCTATGCTTGTCGTAAGAGGCGACTCACGGAGGTCACGTTCGCTGAGTGGTTTATGCATATCACCTTAGAATAATTGCGTAGACCGATTACTATGCTTATAACGTCAATCACTGGATTGTTTTGCCCAGTCGCGATTGTGTTGTTCACACAATGGTTAAACAGGTTCTAATTTGGAACGCCCCCACATGCGGACGTATATAACTTGTAGTGGGACAATGAATATTGCTCTTGTGTTAATAGAACATGCTTCATCCTTTATAATATTTGTTTGCTGTTTAACACCATACCCAGCAATATTCTCTCGGCGGACATCTCTGTAAATAATCGAGTCTCGACCAAAATATGCAGTAGTCAACAGCATGAGCATCGGTCTACGCAATTGGGATACGATGACGTGTGTCAACCAAGTCAGCGAGCCTGACCACCCGATCCCGTTAGTCGCCACTTATGACAAGCATGGGTTGCTAAAGACTTCGTCTCACCCGGATCGTCACTGGTCTGCAATCATAATAGAATTATATGAAGAATGGACGTCTTATTAAATAAATTATATTGTTTCAAAGTTAGCTTTTTTGAAATATATACGTGGAGTCGGTATGATGTTGCATAGAAAGTCAGAAACAAGGAATATGTGATACTAAGTGGTGAAGCCTATTAAAGTTACATAGTATAGACTATATACATATACCATGTTGTGAATCCAGTATGAGATTAACATATCCGTCGTTGGAATGTATAATTGCATCTTTGACTGAAAGTGTAAAGACTCTACAAACGAAAGCCCGTATTTCAGTTCCCCCTTCCACACAGCCGGGGCAGCTCCCACGGTCAGTCCCGCATCACCCGCAAGGCCTACCCCCAGGACTTCTACACAGAGATGATGCATGAAGCCACCGACATCTGGCGGCAGCTCGAGAAGGAAGCTGGGTGGGAGGTGTTCAGGTGAGGAGAGAGGCCGTGTGGGAGGTGTTCAGGTGAGGAGAGAGGCCGTGTGGGAGGTGTTCAGGTGAGGAGAGAGGCCGTGTGGGAGGTGTTCAGGTGAGGAGAGAGGCCGTGTGGGAGGTGTTCAGGTGAGGAGAGAGGCCGTGTGGGAGGTGTTCAGGTGAGGAGAGAGGCCGTGTGGGAGGTGTTCAGGTGAGGAGAGAAGCTGGGTGGGAGGTGTTCAGGTGAGGAGAGAAGCTGGGTGGGAGGTGTTCAGGTGAGGAGAGAGGCCGGGTGGGAGGTGTTCAGGTGAGGGAGAGAGAAGCTGGGTGGGAGGTGTTCAGGTGAGGAGGAAGCTGGGTGGGAGGGTGTTCAGGTGAGGAGAGAGGCCGTGTGGGAGGTGTTCAGGTGAGGAGAGAAGCTGGGTGGGAGGTGTTCAGGTGAGGAGAGAAGCTGGGTGGGAGGTGTTCAGGTGAGGAGAGAGGCCGTGTGGGAGGTGTTCAGGTGAGGAGAGAGGCCGTGTGGGAGGTGTTCAGGTGAGGAGAGAGGCCGTGTGGGAGGTGTTCAGGTGAGGAGAGGCCGTGTGGGAGGTGTTCAGGTGAGGAGAGAGGCCGTGTGGGAGGTGTTCAGGTGAGGGAGAGGCCGTGTGGGAGGTGTTCAGGTGAGGAGAGAGAGCCGGGTGGGAGGTGTTCAGGTGAGGAGAGAGGCCGTGTGGGAGGTGTTCAGGTGAGGAGAGAAGCTGGGTGGGAGGTGTTCAGGTGAGGAGAGAGAAGCTGGGTGGGAGGTGTTCAGGTGAGGAGAGAGGCCGGGTGGGAGGTGTTCAGGTGAGAGAGAAAGCTGGGTGGGAGGTGTTCAGGTGAGGGAGAGAAGCCGGGTTGGGAGGTGTTCAGGTGAGGAGAGAGCCGTGTGGGAGGTGTTCAGGTGAGGAGAGAGAAGCTGGGTGGGGAGGTGTTCCAGGTGAGGAGATGAGAGCCGGGTGGGAGGTGTTCAGGTGAGAGAGAGGCCGTGTGGTGAGGAGGTGTTCAGGTGAGGAGAGGCCGTGTGGGAGGTGTTCAGGTGAGGAGAGAGGCCAGGTGGGAGGTGTTCAGGTGAGGGAGAGGCCGTGTGGGAGGTGTTCAGGTGAGGAGAGAGGCCGTGTGGGAGGTGTTCCAGGTGAGGAGAGAGGCCGTGTGGGAGGTGTTCAGGTGAGGAGAGAGGCCGTGTGGGAGGTGTTCAGGTGAGGAGAGAGGCCGTGTGGGAGGTGTTCAGGTGAGGAGAGAAGCCGGGTGGGAGGTGTTCAGGTGAGGAGAGAAGCTGGGTGGGAGGTGTTCAGGTGAGGAGAGAGGCCGGGTGGGAGGTGTTCAGGTGAGGAGAGAAGCTGGGTGGGAGGTGTTCAGGTGAGGAGAGAAGCCGGGTTGGAGGTGTTCAGGTGAGGAGAGATGCCGGGTGGGAGGTGTTCAGATGAGGAGAGAAGCAAGTTGGGAGGTGTTCAGGTGAGGAGATGAGACGGGTGGGAGGTGTTCAGGTGAGGAGAGAAGCCGGGTTGGAGGTGTTCAGGTGGGGAGAGAAGCCGGGTGTTCAGGTCAGGTGAGGAGAGAAGCCGGATTTGGGGAGGTGTCCAGGTGAGGAGAGAAGCCGGGTGTTCAGGTCAGGTGAGGAGAGAAACTGGGTGGGAGGTGTTCAGGTGAGGGGAGAGAGGCCGGGTGGGGAGGTGTTCAGGTGAGGAGAAGCCGGGTTGGGAGGTGTTCAGGTGGGAGAGAAGCCGGGTGTTCAGGTCAGGTGAGGAGAGAAGCTGGGTGGGAGGTGTTCAGGTGAGGAGAGAAGCCGGGTTGGAGGTGTTCAGGTGGGGAGAGAGGCCGGGTGGGGAGGTGTTCAGGTGAGGGAGATAAGATGGGTTGGGAGGTACTGAGGTGAGGAGTGAGGAAGGGGGGGGAGGTGTTCAGGTGAGGAGAGAGAGCCCGGGTGGGAGGTGTTCAGGTCAAGAGAGAGGCCGGGTGGGAGGTGTTCAGGTGAGGAGATGAGACGGGTGGGAGGTGTTCAGGTGAGGAGAGAAACCGGGTGGGAGGCTATGAGGTGAGAAGAGAGGCCGGATGCGGGATGTTCAGGTGAAGAGAGAGGCCGGGTGGGAGGTTATTAGGTGAGGTGAGAGGCCGTCTGCTACTTGTTGAGGTGAGGAGAGAGGCCAGGTTTTATATGTTGAGCTGAGGTGAGAAGCAGGGTGTTATGTGTTCAGGTGAGGCGAAAAGCCGGGTGGGAGGTGTTCAGGTGAGGAGAGAGGCCGGGTGGGAGGCTATGAGGTGAGAAGAGAGGCCGGATGCGGGATGTTCAGGTGAAGAGAGAGGCCGGGTGGGAGGTTATTAGGTAAGAAAGAGAGGCCGGATGCAGGATGTTCAGGTGAGAGAGAGCCGGGTGGGAGGTTATTAGGTGAGAAGAGAGGCCGGATGCGGGATGTTCAGGTGAAGAGAGAGGCCGGGTGGGAGGTTATTAGGTGAGAAGAGAGGCCGGATGCGGGATGTTCAGGTGAAGAGAGAGGCCGGGTGGGAGGTTATTAGGTGAGAAGAGAGGCCGGATGCGGGATGTTCAGGTGAAGAGAGAGGCCGGGTGGGAGGTTATTAGGTAAGTTGAGAAGGAGGGTGGGACTTGTTGAGGTGAGGGGAGAGGCCAGGTGTTATGTGTTGCGGTGAAGTGAGAAGCAGGGTGGGACTTGTTAAGGTGAGGAGAGAGGCCGGGTGGGAGATGTTCGGGTGACAAAAGCGAACGGGTGGGTTCTGACTCTTGAGAGTTTCTAAGACTTTTGTTCTGCCCCACAACGAAGCACATATGTAGGTCTCAGTCTCATAGTGATTGTGATCACGACATATATAATAGGGACAGATGAACTGCTGACGATAAATGGTTGTAAAGATAATTTAAGCCTGAAGATTGATATCTGATGTGTCGACCTTGTGGACGATACATATATATCATCTCGATGGCATAATTGCCCTGACAATCGCTCGCTCTTCCACCTGAATAGCTTCTCTATGCTGTGGCACGTCGGTTGGCGCTCGATCATTGACGATCACGTTCCACCCGAGAATATCCCGTAGAAGCTCGACTGTGGTCACGTCAGGGGACCTCGAGGTCTAGCCCAGTATCCGTGTACTCAGCTCCACTGTATTAGTGGGGCGGTGGGATAGCCCAGTGGTTAAAGCGTTCGCTTGTCACGCCCAAGGCCCGGGTACGATTCCAAACATGAGTATAATGTGTGAAGCCCATTTCTGGTGTCCCAGCCATGATATTGCTGGAATATTGCTAAATGCGGCGTAAAACCATACTCACTCACGCATGAACATATCAACTTTGCCAGACCACTCGATGAAATATGCATATTATTTGACAACATTAACAAACTATTCTATTTATCATATTTTGATCATTGTTTAGAAATGATCGAGACATCGAGTAAGTCTGCATTTTATTACGCAACCCAACTACAGTTTAGTCCTTGAGCAGAAAGTAGTTCCAGGCAAAAGTGATATTCTACTCAGTGAAATAACATGTTATTCTACTCAGTGAAAATACCATTTCTATTTTCACCAATATTAACAGTATTTCACCATTAAGAATATAATAACGTTCGCTGTTCCACCATGTATAGTGTAATAAAGTACACTTTTGCCCTGTACTGTTACAACGTTAAAACGTCTAGCTTAATTGACGTAGTAAAAGTTGTAGAAGGAATGAATTCACGTGTTTGTTATGAATGAGAAAGTAGTTCCGTCACAACGTGACCTAATTGAGAGGTCATCGCTTATCTGATGAAATCGTTCGAATGTCAGGTCACACGTCGTTACGGCACAGGTCAACGCGATACGACACTCGAAATTAATATGCAACTACCCATACGTTGACCACGTGAACAGTTTCACATTAGGTTTTGTAACTATGTGTTGGGTGTAAGTTATACATGCTCTAACGCGGCTGTTTTGGCGGAATGTGGTAGAAACTATATATTTACGTTCAAACTTGTACACTTTCCAAAAGAGAGAAATCCAAAGCAGTGCTATATTATGTTGCACAATTTAGACAAAGTTGGTAGGAAAACGTGGGTATATTTTGTCCGAAATACTTTGTTCAATTATGGTTTTGCTTTTGTGTGAGAAGCTCAAGGAGTTGGCAACGAGGAACAGTTTTTGAAAGATTTTCATGTAAGAGTTGGTGATTGTCAAAAGCAATTCATATTATCAGAAATTCACAAATGTTCATCGCTTGATGTTTATTCCAGTATTAAAAGTGTATTTTGCATTGAACCATATTTAACTTGATTGAAATCTAAAGATGCGAGTCGTAGAATAACAATGTTACGAATCGGTGCACTTCCAAAATATAAAAATACCGGTAGATTTGATGGAGTTCCGAGGCACCAAAGACTATGTAATATTTGTAATGATAATCTTGTAGAAAATTAATTTCATTTCCTTTTTTAATGTAAAATTTATTATGACTTGGGCTGTAAGTATTTTTAAGCATTACCAAATTACATAGATCAGCAACACTTTCTAAACACATTATCATGTACCATTTTTTCAACAGCAACAAATTGTTCTACAATAAGGAAGCATTGTCATTGCGCTCTTTATACATATGCATGCGACTGTCAATTGCCACTATCTTATAATTGCACTTGTTTAGTTTGTATTGAACGTGGCCTAAGGCCTTGTTACGAAATAAACTTGATTGATTGGTTAAACCACGTGGGTAAAAAAACACAGTCTCTAATCGCTAGATCCTCTCCTTCAAACATTCTCTCATTGTGTCTCAGTCAAACAGGATTCATAGCCATCGGGAAGCACAAAGGTGATTATCTAGAAAACAACGTCAGTTCCCTCCAACGTAACAACGCTCGCTTTGAGTACCTCACCCCGCAAGACTTCCGACGGCGCTACCCGATGCTGAGGTACCCGGATGACTACAGCTGCGTGGCAGACCCAGAGGGTGGAATCTTACGAGCAGACAAGGCGCTTTTGGCATACCAGGTATGTAACAATCAACGACTACAGCACTCAATTTTCACATGAACCACGTTCAATGAACATGACTGAGTAAGTGTATCGCTTCTTTGAACACATTTGTGACCAACTCGTGTTATTCCGGGACAAGCCGAATAGCGACTCGTGCCCCCTTGCCATTCGTAAATACTCGTCCCTTTCCGTAACCTTAAAGTAGACTCCCCTCTCGTTGCCATTTTATTGAACGTGGCTCTGTCTGAGCGCAAAAGCGCAGAGAGAAAGAAACAGTCTAGTCGCCGAACTATTTTCAAGGGCATGTAACTCTAGTTTACTGGGAAAACACACATAGCATCCACGCCAAGGAAATTACCTCGAAGGGTATGTTTAACATGCCTAAATACTTTCCTACGCCTTAATGTTAATATATCCTGGTTATAAAAATTCAGGAAACCCAGGAGGACTATGCAGTAATTAGAATATACTTCAAGAAGCCGAAATGAAAAATAAATAAATGAAAACAGCAATACAGTCATTCCCTTTGTAAATAAGTTTCAGTGTTTAAAGTTTCTGATCCTTTAGCTCAAAGTTTATGTTTAAATTGTGCTTTGCATAGTTTATAGCGAAGTTTCAAACTTCAACGATGCCGCCATTTTCATGCTTCGAAATGCGTTTTACTACGCGCGATTTGATTGGTTTGCCACGATTCTTGGCAATAATGGCGTACGATAGGGGTACGAGTCTTCTTGTAGGTCACGGAAAGAGGCGAGTAGTTACGAATGCGAGAGGGGGACGAGTCTACTTTCAGGTTACGGAAAGGGACGAGTAGTTACGAATGGCTACAATGCGTCGCCACTCGTCCCTTTCCGTAACCTCCAAGAAGACTCGTCTCGATGCTTCTTATGTGCGACACACCAATCAGAACGCGCGTAATGAAGGCGGTGCTTTGATAACAATAATCCAGACTACTTAAGTCGCTTATGGCATTACGTCATTGCTTGAAAAATCATGAAAAAATATATGTCGTCATATTGAAAGTACAAAGAACGTAGCTAAGAGAATTGTGCTGTCTAATGTGAAGTTTTTAACAAGAAGCATACGATTGACGGTGAGAGATTCAAATACACGAACGTGCGTTTGTTGACATAACGGCTCTCTTGACTGTATTTATGACGATCTGGCGGGCTTGTTTTGGAGATTGTACGTGCGCGTCCAACATTTTTAGGAACTGTAATTATACATCGCTACGAGTTTCAAAACAATAATATTCATATCTGTATGTAACTAAGTAACTTTAATCTTTTTTTAACATTGGGCTTATATTTCACGTCTCCGGGAATATTTTAGTCTGACTTTTTCGTAGTCATTCATATTGTTTCTGCGAATTCATTTGCAATTCAACCAGGGGTATGACAGCAAGGTTACACGGATGTTCAGTTTGAGAAATATGTTAAAGTCCCCAGCTGGGGTATACAATTGACGACCAGGGATACGCCACTGACCAGCAGGGGTACGCTACTGACGACCATGGGTACGCTACTGACAACCATCGGTACGCTACTGTCCACTATGGGTACGCTACTGTCCACCATGGGTACGCTACTGTCCACTATGGGTACGCTACTGTCCACTATGGGTACGCTACTGACAGCATGTGTACACTTCTGACGACCAGGGGTACGCTACTGTCCACTATGCGTACGCTACTGTCCACTATGGGTACGCTACTGTTCACTATGGGTACGCTACTGTTCACTATGGGTACGCTGCTGACGACCAGGGGTACGCTACTGTCCACTATCGGTACGCTACTGTCCACTATGGGTACGCTACTGACAGCAGGTGTACGCTACTGACGACCAGGGGTACGCTACTGTCCACTATGGGTACGCTACTGTCCACTATGGGTACGCTACTGCTAGCAGGTGTACGCTACTGACGACCAGGGGTACCCTACTGACGACCAGGGATATACTACTGACGACCAGGGGTACGCTACTGTCCACTATGGGTACGCTACTGACAGCAGGTGTACGCTACTGGCGACCAGGGGTACGCTACTGACGACCAGGGGTACGCTACTGACGACCAGGGGTACGCTACTGACGACCAGGGATACGCTATTGACGACCAGGGGTACGCTACTGACGACCAGGGGTACGCTACTGACGACCAGGGGTACGCTACTGACGACCAGGGGTACGCTACTGACTGACGACCAGGGTACGCTACTGACGACCAGGGGCTACTGACGACCTACTGACGACCAGGGATACGCTACTGACCAGGTATACCACGGGATACGCTACTACTGACGACCAGGATACGCTACTGACGACCAGGGGATACGCTACTGACGACTAGGACCAGGGGTACGCTACTGACGACCAGGCATACCCTACTGACGACCAGGGATACGCTACTGACGACCAGGGATACGCTACTGACGACCAGGGGTACGTTACTGACGACCAGGTATACGCTACTGACGACCAGGGATATACTACTGACGACCAGGGATATACTACTGACGACCATGGGTACGCTACTGACGACCAGGGACGACCAGGGTACGCTACTGACGACCAGGTATACGCTACTGACGACCAGGGATACACTACTGACGACCAGGGATACGCTACTGACGACCAGGGATACGCTACTGACGACCAGGGGTACTACTGACGACCTACTGACGACCTGACGACCAGGGTACGCTACTGACGCAGGGGTCTGACGACCAGGGGGACGCTAGGGTACGCTACTGACGACCAGGGGTACGCTACTGACGACCAGGGTACGCTACTGACGACAAGGGATACGCTACTGACCTGTACGACTGACGACCAGGGTACGCTACTGACGACCAGGGGTACGCTACTGACGACCAGGGATACGCTACTGACGACCAGGGATACGCTACTGACGACCAGGGGTACGCTACTGACGACCAGGGGTACGCTACTGACGACCAGGGATACGCTACTGACGACCAGGGTACGCTACTGACGACCAGGGTACGCTACTGACGACCAGGGTACGCTACTGACGACCAGGGGTACGTTACTGACGACCAGGGATACGCTACTGACGACCAGGGATACGCTACTGACGACCAGGTATACGCTACTGACCGCCAGGGGTACGCTACTGACGACCAGGGGTACGCTACTGACGACCAGGGGTACGCTACTCATGAAGCTAACCAGAACCAGGCCGTATCAGGATTTTAACTCACAAACATTGGTTTCTTGAAGAGACGTAATTCTGCAAAGAGACAGACGACTGGTCCGCTCGTAACTACAAAAAATTAGTTTAGTTTGTTGGCTGAGAAGGGCTATCGCTTTCTCGCCTTCGTATGTGGCCACTCTTTCTCGTCTTGTGTTATCATTTTCTCATCTCGTGTTGTCGCTTATTTGTCTCGTTTTGTCGCTTTCTCGTCTCATGTTATCGCTTTCTCGTCTCATGTTATCGCTTACTTTTCTTGAGTTATGGCTTTTTCGTCTCATGTTATTGCTTTCTCGTCTTGTGTTATGGCTTTCTCGTCTCATGTTATTGCTTTCTCGCCTCGTGTTATCGCTTTTTCATCTTGTGCTATCGCTTTCTCGTCTCCTGTTATCGCTTTCTTGTCTCTTGTATTGCTTTCTTATCTCGTGTTATCAATTTCTCGTCTTGTGTTATCACTTTCTCGCCGCGCATTATTGCTTTCTCGTCTCGTGCCATCCCTTAATCGCGGCCGCATTTTAAGGCGAGAAAGCGATGACCCTTCTCGGCCATGATAGTTTAGTGATATTGATCTATTCCGATTACTGAAAAACTACTTAACGATGTCTGCCTAAAGTATATGTATACAAAAAATAAAAATAGTGACGCATGGTATGTTGTAGACAGAAAGGTGAAATAATGAATGTTTTATAAAGCCGTAATCCACATTAGTCTTCTTACGGGTGGTTCCCCCATGTGCCTACACCCCATCCCTTCTTACATGACGTAAAATACGTTATTTGTTGATTACTTATAATTACTCACCACCGCCATGTAGCTGGAATATTGCGGCGTTCAACAACAAACACTGGGGCTCTGACATTCTGAAGGGGTCTGACATTGCATTATGTATTCATATACCATAATGGCCTGCAAATAATCGAGTTTAGACAAAAGAGACAGTGATTGAAAACATAAGCATCGGTCTAAGCCTTCAGAACTTAGTAACGTTTAATCAGTGCCTGAACACCTCATCCAATTAAGTCGAAAGGATTGCAAGCCACCTAATCTATCCCCTACAATGAGTGAGTAAGTGAGTGAGTGAGTTTAGTTTTACGCCGTTTTAAGCAATATCACGGCGGGAAACACCAGAAAGGGGCTTCACACACTGTACCCATGTGGGGGATCGAGCCCGGTCTTCGTCGTGACAAGCGAACGCTTTAACCACTAGGCTACCCCACCGCCCTCCCCTACAATGATACTTGCACAGGTAAAATGTTGGTATTTGTTCTTCAGGCGATGTTCCAAAAATATGGCGGACGCCTTATCGACGGTGCCAAGGTAACCAACATCAGACGTGGTAACATTGTTACCCTGGACACGCCCAACGCCAGTTACCGGGGTAGAAGCGTGATCATATGTCCAGGACCCTGGGCGTCCCATATACTTCGTCCACTTGGGGTCAAGCTTCCACTTAAGGTAAGAGAACATGTTTTCGATCCCCAACCCCAGAACTATGCTTTCATCATGCCCATATAAGGACATTTATTATCGGAAAGGAAACAAGCAAAAATATTAATACATCCAAGCACCGTTGTGTGTAAGTTGACGGGACCTACGCAAATACTCCGAGTTATCCTAAGTTTGCCAAAACCGCAAAATGAGGACTAAATAAGAAATGCTGACGTTCAAGTTCGACACGTCCTAGTTCGACACAACGGTGATTGACTGTATTAACTTCTATATGAAGAACCTTCTATGTTATTCGTGAGATACATCACTTAACCATTGAGATGAGGTAATATTTTATGAAACCAAAACAAACCAATTCAGCAAACCCCGTTTATAAGGACAACAAACGTTTCAATGACTAGATAAACCAATCATTTATGAAGGAATAGCCCCATTTCACTTAGTTCAGATGGAAGTTTTTATCTAATGCACCCCTGAAGTTTCGGGTCAGAATTGATCTTCAGTAACCCATGCTTGTCGTACGAGGCGACTATCGGGATCGGGTGGTCAGGCTCGCTGACTTGGTTGACACATGTCATCGTATCCAAATTGTGTAGATCGATGCTCATGCGGTTGATCACTGGATTGTCTAGTCCATACTCGATTATTTACAGACTGCGGCGTAAAACTAAACTCACTCTATCTAATATCCGGAAAACGGGTCGTCCGGATTATAGAGGTCCATGTTAACAGAGTTTCACTGATAAAATTATTCTTTTCATCTTCGACCGCATACATGCTTGTATCACCCTGTTCTGTAGGTACTAACATTACTCACTAAATCCCTGTGTTTCGCTTGAATGCTTGTCTCTATGTACCATCTCTACCAAATCCCATGGTATGTCGTTCTGTGCGCTTGGAGATTCGCAGATCATTTCTGAGCCTCACATAGAAGGATTGCCGTCCTAGTTCACTCAGCCTGGAAGGCATTCCATATCAGCAACACCAGGAATTATCCAGAGAATCAATGTATTTGTGTGAAATCCTTCTATGAGAGGTTGAGAACTTATATATCGCCCCTCGTATAACCACAAGCTTAATATGTCTTCTATTTTCTGTTTTGAAGTCGAAAGACCGCCCTATAGAGTCATGAAACTGCATCAACTTATGATTTTGCTTATAACGCTGTGTAACTCGCGCGTGGAGCTTTAACCAATGTTGTTTTGGACCAGATAATAATAATAATAATAATGTCCACTTGTATGGCGCCGTTTCCACACACTAGTGTATGCTCATGGGCCAGATCTAAAACTGGCAATTGTCATTCGTAATATTTCCTGAAAAGATGGGTCTTCAATGAAGATTTGAATAAGTCAAAGAGATTTTGCTGTTTTGATGGTTATGGGAAGCACTGTTCCACAGTGAAGGAGCAGCAGCTGAATGATCTGTGACCATAGTTCTTGAGATTGACAGGGGGGTGTTGTTAGGAGGCACTGTTGGTGTGATCTCAGCTGTCGCGGTTTTACACTGAGATGAGTTCATAGAGGTACTGAGGCGCTAGGTCATGTAGACACGGAACACAATGGTCAAAGATCTTGAATTCGATTTGGCTTGGATGGGCAACCAGTTGACTTCACACAGGGTTATGTGAGATCTTTTTAGATGTTAGGGATACAATGCGGGCAGATCTACTGGTATGTGTTGAAAAGTGTATATCATCGCGTTCACTGTTGTTGCACTTATATTTTGCACGTGAGTATGGCATTAAACCGTTTTTTTTAACTATATTCCAGATACATCACGGAACTGTGTACACACACGTTAATAGTGGGAAGATGCATGCGTTAGTGCACATTCGACATTAAAGTGTGTGTTTTAATAGTGAAACAACAACGGGTCACGTCGGCGAGCCAAGTTTTGGGGTATAAGGCTACCTTGCCCGGTGTTTAAAGGCACAGTGTTACACCACACTTCTCTAAAAAACATTATAATGCATTTATAATTTATTCCCCCAAAAACGTATTACAATAATAAATTAAAAAGTTCGAATGAATTAATGCACCGTTGCATTAAATCGACTCTCGCGCCCTCTACCGGCCGAACATTATTTCAAGCGAACCCCATAGAATTATGTCCCTTGGAGTGATCTTTAGGAATATTCTACGCACAACTTGTGATTGAAACCAGTTCGGCAAACACCGACAACGCCGCGTGGGACAGTTTTCGATGTCAGGAGCAATTGTTTACATTCCATATATGGCAAGTGTTCTCTGTTTGGAAGCTGTCCGCCTCGAAGTTTCAATGTTCGATTTCAGGCAAGCCCTAAGGGATAATAAGTCGTTTATTGCATCAATTGGAAGCTCAAGTGAGTGCATTTGCCCCAGTATATATATATATATATATATATATATATATATATGTATATATATATATAGGCCAACATATTGTCGAAAAGGTGTGACATTGTGCCTTTAACGGCTAAAGGGACGTAACTGTGGTCTGCCCCCACAATGTCTTGCATGTTGTAATTACAGACGCTGCGGATTACAGTGATGTATTGGAAAGAGCGAGATTATGACACTCACACCCCCCAGTAAACTTCACCCGTTTTACGACCAGTGCGTGCGACGTTGTCGTGGACACGACGTGTACGGTTTTCCAAGCGAGGAGTACCCTGGGCATGTGAAGGTATTGCCCCCATAGGGCCCAGTTATAGTATTTCTGAACTAATCATTTAACATGAAGGGCATAACCAAATCATATCAAACGTTAACCTAAGATAGATAACAAGGTAACACCTGACCCAATAGTAAGGGACATAACTCGGTCATATCTGACTCAAAAATAAGGGACATAACTCGGTCACACCTGACACGACAATAAGGGACATAACTCTGTCACACCTGGCTAGAAAATAAGGGACAGAACTCGGTCACACCTGACTCGACAGTAAGGGACATAACTCGGTCACATCTGACTCAACAGTAAGGGACATAACTCCGTGACACCTGACACAACAATAAGGGACATAACTCGGCCACACCTGACACAACAATAAGGGACATAACTTGGCAACACCTGGCACAACATTAAATGCCATAACTCTGCCACACCTGGCTAGATAATAATGTTCTTGTTCACTCGGTTCACTCGGCTCATTTCAGTTCAGTAGGTCATCACGCACCCCAGCCCGGAATCATTATTACAGCTGGTTTGTTCACCTAATAAGAAGGCCGAAATTGTGTCCTCTTTAGTGAGCCCAAGAAGGAAATCGAACCCGGTCTTCGTGGTGACGAGCGAACGCTTCAACCACTGACTGACACAGCCCTTTGGTGTCAAAATGTTAACAGCGAAATTATGCAGTAACACGACTTCTGTCATGAATATCGCATTGCATTCACCACTCGCCTCTTTCTGTAACCGCCACTTGGTTTGTTCCGGAATAACACGAGTTGGTCAGGAATGATTGCATTGGTAGCGGAATATACCGAGTGGACCCGAGTGAACTGAGTGATTGGGTACAAGTGAAGTACATGTACTGGCCATTGTGGACTAACACCCATACGAATGAAGCACAAAAGGACTTATCGCAGAACGTGCCACAGAATACCCCGTTGCTCTATAAAAACGGGCTTTCAGGTTCTTTTTCGAATCCGGAATTGTTTTTCACGGATTTCTCCTACAGTACACAGACTAGCAGATCCTGGCGCTTCAAAATGATGTCCCAAAATTGCAAACGTTTCTATCTTGATCCTATGGGTTGGTTGGCCGAACTATACTCTCCCCCCAAAAGACACGCATGGGTGTATTTTCAGGAATTTCATCTGCTAACTTTGAATACAGTTAGCTTGAGATGACGCGTGTAATTCTTAATCGGTTGCAGCCAAATCTACAGGATAAAAGATCAAATGTCTGTTTACACGTATAGTCCATAAATTGTTGAATAAGTGGAGGCGTCCGTTCCCATTTAGGCGTTGTCTTCAATATCTGTTGTGGCCACCATGAGCCCCCAAAACTGCTCAGCACCGTCTCGGCATGGACTGAATATGTCTTTGAATTCGACCCTGAAGAATTCTGGCCGATTCTTCTTGCAATGCCTGCGATAGTTGATCCAACGTCTAGGGCGCCGGTTGACGTTGACGTCGACCGAGGTCATCCCAGAGATGTTCGATGGGGTTGAGGTCGGGCGATTTGGAAGAAGTGTAATGTTACCATTTTGAAGATACTGAATAGTGGCATATGCGGTGTGTGGCCTGGAACAACTCCCTGTGGCGGTCCATGATCGGGACCATGTGAATCCTTAAGATTTCGTCTCTGTATCGAATAGCAGTTAAATTGCCATGAAAGCGCACAAAGTTAGATTTCTGAGCGTGGGATGTGGCTTCCAACATCATGACACCCTCACCACCATATCGGTCAACCTGCGCGAAACGTTCATGTAGACGTCGATAGACACGTACTCTTCCTTCACGGCACTGAACCATACACGTCGCCAGCTTTGTAGATTCCAGAATCGAAAGTTATTGTACCACTGTAGTCGCATAAAGCCATAATAGGGTATCCTGGTTCGAAGTCCAGCTTCGGTTCAACATTCTCCCCAAACGAGGCACTAAACTTGCGGTTGCGCTTGCATTTGATGTGACAGCTCTATTCCGCAAATGAAGTACCCGGATGTACCTGCCGCGCTGCGTGGTAACCCGAGGAACCACTTTGAGGCCATATCTTGCGTCTTTTGGTTTGACGCGATGTTGGGGATCGAACGCGACCTTCCGATCTCCACTGCGGACGCTCATTGAGGCGACACCACGGAGGCGGTCCCAGCCTTCAGAAGCCCAATGGCAATGTTTCGATTTTTCAGCAGTGAGTTTCAGCATACCGATATTCTTGCATTTAGCTAAAAATACCAATGTCCCAATGATCGTCGAAAAGCAAAACGGCCTTATATAGGAAATGTCCCTGCTCACGATTCCTTTGAAATGCAAGTGCATATTACGAACCACTTTGTCTCCATTACATTATTATGCAAGTTTTGTCACTTTCGAAAATACATTCGTTCCATGTACACAAACCAGCATTACAATGGCGAAATGATACAATCAAACACTAATTTTTTAAAAATATTTGAAATTTCATGTATCAACATCTCCAATACGTTTCTTTCTTGGGAGAGTATATATCGCTAGTAAGTATATGTCGCTAACGACAAATGATCATGTACTGATGATCTGAATGAGCTCAGTTCCATCTATTCTGATCCAGTGTCAGCAACAACATCACACCTTCTGACGTCCACGACACGGCTGTGATGATTTCGCACACATCATCGTTCTTACCACGTCGCGATGGACACGGTGTTAACACGTAACATTATTGCTAAATATAGGTATTTTCAACATGTCTCAGGTACACGTGCGAATAACATCGAGATCTGTTGAATAAGAGTATGACAGCAACACACACACACACCTACGTGCTCCCTACGCAATTCGCAAGTCTGCCTTCGAATTCCACGCTTTTAATAAAAGCGATAGTTATCTTTAATCACGCATACGAACCCTTAGTCATAGAATAGCTCATCATATTCTGAGTGGGTGATCTATGACTTACAGTTAGTATGCGTGATTAAAGTTTACGTTTAGTTTTGCGCCGATTTTAGCAATATTTCAGCAACATTACGACGGGGGACACCAGAAATGGACTTCACATAATGCACCCATGTTGGGAATCGAACCCGGGTGCTCGGGGCGACGAGAGCACGCCTTAACCACTAGGAAAGGGGCCAAGGGGGCAAGGTGGGCGAGCTGTCTAAGGCGTCGCGCTAGTAAGCGAAAGGTGCCTGGATCGATCCCCACTTGTGACCGGGTGTAAAAACCTTGGAGCTAACATTACTTACAGGCTCTTTCAGTGTTGTCACAACCCCTAGTGTGCAGTACACAACCCTGTGCATTTATAAGAACCCGCTCATCTCGATGGTAGGTGACCAGATGGTGGACACACGTACATTGGACAAAATACTGTGACCATGTGTCCTACTTCACCCAGCTGGGTGGGCACCTTGTGAGGATGAGGCTGTGTGATAACTCGCTGCGCCTAACAGGCTGCATGAGTTGAATACTCCCCAAGGAGTTGAGTTGGTTAAAAAATAAAAGAATGCCAGAAACAAGACATCCGTTGATCAAGCGAAAACTCCAGCGCCTTGAGCATGCACCAGTTGCGTGGATATATGCGCTACATAAATATCCTTTAATTAATAAATAGGCTACTCCCACCGCCCGTCAAAAAGAACACAAGAGTGGAGGAGCTGATCATATTCTGAACAAAGACCTATTTCAGATATAACCTCCAGTTTACAAGGAACTGTTTGTGCTTAGTACACTTCACTTGCCATGCATGCTCGCTGAATGTTTTCTATCTAGCCACTCACAACATCGTTTACTAATGCATTCTTCTCTGAATTCATTCATTCACTATCTCACTCAAACTAATTTGCAAACCCACTCATTCACTCACAATATCTGTCGCGCTCTGCACTTCGTCTTAAGGTTCTATTGGACCCGTGAAGATCCGGGTTAGAATTGATCTTCAGCAACCCATGCTTGTCGTAAGAGGCGACTAACGGAATCGGTGGTCAGGCTCGCTGACAAGGGGGCTGTTGTACAAAGCAGCCTTAACGCAACGCCAGTCGTAAGTCTGTGTTGTCGTATGGGAGTTACGATGATCGTAACTCCCAGACTTTAACAGACGTACGACTGTCGTAGCGCTACGGTCGCTTTGAGGAACGGGGCCCTGGTTGACACATGTCATCGTATCCCAATTGCGTAGTTCGAAGCTTATGGTATCAGTCACTGGATTGTCTGGTCCAGACTCGATTATTTACATATAGGTGGAATACTGCGTTAAAAACAGATAAGATTGTATTGCAGATTGTGCGAATCAGTGTTTGTTATTGGCGAGAGCGACAACCAGGGGGCCACGGCCCTTCTGCCTTACAACCCTTCAGTGCTAGAGGTTTTACCTGGGGTATCTATGGTATTCCTTGTTTTGAGTACCCGGGTCAAGTGAAGGTAAGATCCCCATCTTATTGTGGCATCCAAATGGTAGTCTGTGTACTGTGGAGAAACAACATACGGCCACCACAACGGTCATAAACACGAGACCAAGTGTTCACTGTTTTTCACCAGTATCTTAACCTGAGAGCCTTCGAGGTAATCATTTTTTGACGTACACGATAATGGTTTAATCTAAATCCCATCAATGTTTTATTGATAAGTTTGCAAGGGTAAGCATTTATCTGTCCCTATCTACCCTAACATTTAGGCAGCATAGACACCAACTTCTCTATAACGAGGAACACAACATTTTGGAGTATATTCGTATTCCTTCATCAATTGACTAAAGAATATATTCCGAAACGTTGTATAAATGTCCTTGTCATGTGAATCATTAGTGAATTGGTAGTGATCTTGACAACCAATTGTCATACATGTGAAATCCGTATTGGTTGAGTGGGGGGGGGGGTAAGTCCCATAACATTCAAAGTAAATTTAAGCTTTCCAGAATTTTTTAAACGTAGTATACTTGTTTTAAATGCTGCCATATTTTGACTGAATGGTCTGTAAATCTAGCCAGCGTCCATGCAGGTGGCAAAAGTACTGTAAGTCCCCATGCTCCCTAGTATGGTGATCTACCTTCCGTTGTTGGCGAAATATAGCCCGTTTTTATATTGTATTGTCCTGATATAAATCCAATTTTAGAGAAAACTGATAGTTTTATTTCCTGTCTTTTTGTCATTCTAGTTGTGTTTTCTGTCTTTCATTGACCGGTTTTTATAATGCAACTGTATTTATCATGACTTAATAACTTGTTTTAGTCACGATATGACTGTAAATCCTAACTCACTCACGTGGCTGAGTGGTCAAGATCACGGACTTTGTGTGTTGGCGATTAGGTGCCTCGCTCCAATGTGGCACGCTTGATGGAACTCAATATGAAGAAGTACTTGAACTTCCCCCCTTTACTGAGAAAGTGAATTCCTCAGTAGAACATATTATAGGACTTTACATAATCAAATAATGGAATATTTTACTTCTTAGAACTATATTCATAAGACGTGCTGTTTCGGGTCTATTACGACATCACTATGACAAATCATTGACAGAGTTGTCCATCCTCGACCACCGAGTGAATTAGATCACCATTTTAGTGCTGCGAATGCTCAGAACCCTTTCGTCACGATGACGTCATAACTGACGCCATTATCACCAACTGTCTCCATATCTTACTTAGCACAAAATTTCTCTCTCTCTCATGCGCGTAATTTGATTGGAAGGTTATTGTAACTTCAGATAATTCCAAGCATGTTCAAAACCTTGCAGAGAATGGGTTGAGGCTATGTTTTACAATATGATTGAGGATCAAACGGAGGAAGGATCTTGTCTGCAGCATGTTATCATTGTGCCTGTAGGTCTGTCTTCACTATGGTCCAGAAATAGACGCCGAGTTCCGTGACCAAGCAGACGACAAATGGGCGATCGATCTGATGAAGGAATATGTCCGAGAGCACTTTCCAGCCCTCGAACCGTCACCATCCAATTGTCGAAACGTGCATATACACCGTAAGTAATGTTTACGTGCGTAAGTTACATACACACCGTAAGTAATGTAACCTTTACACGTAAGAGTCGTAAGTTACATACACATCGTAAGTAATGTTTACATGTTGTAATACATTACATGTTGTTTAACCTACATATACATCGTAAATACATGTTGTGTACGTGTTGTAACCTACATATACATCGTAAGTAATGTTTGACATGTATGTAAACGTGTTGACCTACTATAAAACGTAATCAATATTGACATGTTGCAACCGATATATACACTGTAAGTAATATTTACGCGTTGTAACCTACATATGTACCGTCAGTACTGTTGACGTGATCATCTTTACTATTATTATTTTTTATTTTAATCATTTCTCTTTTAACATTAATATCCATCACCCCTATCCATCATGCATGAACACGTTTTCTCAGGGATCGGGTGGTCAGGATCGCTGACTTGGTTGATACGTCATCGTATCCCAATTGCGTAGATCGATGCTCATGCTGTTGATCACTGGATTGTCTGGCCTAGACTCGATTATTTACAGACCGCCGCCACATGGCTGGAATATTGCTGAGTGCGGCGTAAAACTAAACTCACTCACTCCATGACAGATATCGCTAATATGAAGCGGTAACCTGAACACTTTAGGAGCACTACTTACAGGGGACCATTGTACAACATTGTTTTAGTCTGACGTACATATAGTTTCTGTATCTACTGATTGTAAAGATTATAAAGATTACTGATTATAAAGATGTGTCATGTCGATGCTTACTTCAGAACACCCCTGATGAACACCCTGTCCTGGACTACGTACCCGGCAGTCGCAACATCGTCATGGGTGTAGGCTTCTCTGGTGAGTGAGTGAGTGCGCTATGCCGTGCGGCTCTGGTTAGAGTGTGTTTGGGAGTTAAATGTGTCTCCAGCCTGTGTTGGTCGCGGGTTAATGACATTATGTGTGTATATGTTAGTGGAGGTTACGGGTTATACATGCAAATCCTCTATGCGGAGGTCATGGGCTATATATACGTGTACGTGTATATCCTCTCTGCGGAGGTCATGGGCTATATATACGTGTACGTGTATATCCTCTCTGCGGAGGTCATGGGCTATATATACATATGTACGTGTATATCCTCTTTGCGGAGGTCATGGGCTATATCTCGTACGTCACACGTGTGTCGATATCGTTGACCTCTGTCGGACGTCTTGGGCTGAGATTATAACGATTTGATTGTAACCGATGACCTCTCAATTAGGTCACAGGTCTGAGGTCATGGGCTTTTTTTATATAACAAACACGTGTATATCCTCTCATGCGGAGGTCATGGGCTATATATATATCCTCTTGCGGAGGTGGAATGTAAACATTGCGAACGTTGCCGTGTCGCTGTTTAATTGTTAGTCGAACTGAGACATTATATCCGTCGAAAACATAAACGCAATGTTTCCACCAGAGATGTTATATCCTGCAAACCAAGAAACGGGGTGCTACAGAGTAGTTTACTGTAGGAGGCTGTAGGCGATGATACTGACATGCATCGTGACGTCGGTTACCAAGGCAGTGACGTCATTACAGTGTGACGTGTATATCGTTTTTTCTCCGTCGAGGTCATGGGATATATATACATGTACGTGTATATTCTCTCTGCGGAGGGCAAAGGTTACATGATAAACGTGTATATCCTTTCTGCGGACGTCAGAGATTACATGATAAACGTGTATATCCTCTCTGCAAAGGCCATGGGTTATCAGTAATCTACGTGTATATCCTTCCTTTGGGCTCATGGACTATATGATATATGTGTATATCCTTTCTCCGCAGGTCACGGGTTCAAGTTGTCCCCTGTGGTGGGCAAGGTTCTGGGTCAGCTGGCGTGTGGGGAGACGCCCTCGTACGGCCTTAACCCCTTCAGGATAGACAGGTTCCCCCAACAGGCCAGCCTCTGATGGGACAGGCCGATAACTGCCTCGTGTGTATGTGTTCAGTGACAATGACATTATTACAGCAGATTGACTCGGATATTATGGACCATCGGACTTGGCGAGTATTGTTGGTGGTTCGGGGTGGTGTTGGAGTATATTTGCATTCTCTGTCACCAACGGGAAACGTCGAACCTCTGGCGGACTCAAGAAGTGGCGACAATGACCATAGAAAATTGATAGATATCTAACTCATATTACATATTACACGGTGAAACATTATCAAGTTCCTATAAAGCTGGACAAAGCTGACCTTTCGTTTGTTTAATCAATTCGTCGTCGAGCCAGTGAGTCTCTCTTCATCTCTGAAGATCATTGGTAGGCCATAGTAAGGTTTCTGAACTTTATTGGTAGGCCGAGCCAATGGACTCTCTGAAGATCATTGGTTGGCCAGAGTAAGTTTTCTGAACTTTAGTGGTAGGCCGGGCCAATGGACTCTCTGAAGATCATTGGTAGGCCATAGTAAGGTTTCGGAACTTTATTGGTAGGCTTAGCCAGTGGACTCTCTGAAGATCATTGGTAGGCCAGAGTCATTTATAAGCCGGAGCTGACTTGCTGAAGATCATCGATGGATCAGAGATATGAGTATCATTTGTATACCAGGGTAAGATGTCTTTATCGATAGGCCGCGACCCATTTGACTTCCTGAAGATCATTGGTAGGCCAGAGTTAGTTTCCAAATATCATTGGTGGACTTGACACTCTGAACACCATCATATGTACATATGTATTGATCATTTGATTATTAAAATATGATTATTATGAGCAAATATGGTTTTTGTTTTAAATTACAACGGATCATTACACGAAGAATGGAGGCATATTGCCACAGTCGTATACTATGAATACACAGGATGTTATCAATATCAAAAGGTTTGTTTCACCATATTTACGCTCTGACAATGATGGGGCGGTGGGGTAGCCTAGTGGTTAAAGCGTTCGCTCGTCACGCTGAAGACCCGGGTTCGATTCCCCACATGGGTACAATTTGTGAAGCCAATTTCTGGTGTCCCCCGCCGTGATATTGCTGGAATATTGCTAAAAAAGCAGCGTAAAACCATACTCACTCACTCACTCTGACGATGATTGTTATGTTTTAGGGATTGGTTTCTCTATGTTTTTTGTGTCTGCGAAGATGTATTTCAGCATGTTTTTGTGTTTGTTAAGTTGTATTTCAGAACGAATTTGTGTTCTTGAAAGTTAGTTTCACTGTGCTTTCACGTTCATAAACATGTTTCAGCATGTTTGAGTGTTTGGGAAATGTTATTTAACTGTGATTTTGTTTGTGATGTTAGGATTTACAAATTGTATATATTGTACGATTTGTGACCTTTCACAATGGTTTATGTTTGTGAAGTTTCGCTTCAAAGTCTTTTAAAGTGTCTGAAGGTTTGTCTCACAATGGTTTGGTCACAATGTTCTAAGTCACGTTTGTCTGTGAAGGTTTGTCTCACAGTTTCTTGTTTGAAGTCACAATGTTTTAAGTCTCAGTGAAGGTTTGTCTCACAATGGTTTCTGTTTTGAAAGTTTCTCACAATGTTTTAAGTCTGTGGTTTTACCTCACAATGTTTTAATGGTTCTCTGTTTGTGAAAGGTCACAATGTTTTAAGTCTGTGAAGGTTTGTCACAATGTTTTGCGTCACAATGTTTTAAGTCTGTGAAGGTTTGTCTCACAATGGTTTCTGTTTGTGAAAGTTTGCGTCACAATGTTTTAAGTCTGTGAAGGTTTGTCTCACACTGGTTTCTGTTTGTGAAAGTTTGCGTCACAATGTTTTAAGTCTGTGAAGGTTTGTCTCACATTGGTTTCTTGTTTGTGAAAGTTTGCGCCACAATGTTTTAAGTCTGTGAAGGTATTTCTGACAATGGTTCATGTTTGTGAAGGTTTGTTACAACTAATGTTTGTGAAGAGACCTCACTCGAAAGGAAATCCGGCAGTTAGCCATAAACATGAAGAAGTTTGTGATGCATTTATTGTAGATTTTGTTGTTGTTGTTGTTTGTTTTTTTTTTCTATTTTTTTTTGGGGTGGTGGTGGTGGTGGGGGGTGGGGTGGGGGGTTTACCAAGATAAAAGGTCAAACACAATGGGGATCGGGAGGCTGAAACTTAGCAAAACCAATCTGCTTGAGGTTGACAGATAATATGTAGAAAAATAAAACATAAAAACTGCTGCATTTGTATCATTTTCTACGTGAGGCTGACTACTTCTTGAACGCCCCACGTACCTATCTAACAAATGTATTGACATATGTATTGACGTGTCTTACACAGCTGATGTTTCCAGTTAATGACAATGTGTGAAACACAGACCCATCCCTTTCCATCTGGGAGACATTTTCATCGCTTCGGGGGTTAATCCATGTAGCAGTTGGTGGAACGTAGTCAAATGACAACGTAGCACTTTTCTTAATTTGTTTTGCAGTTTTATTCCCAAGAGTTTTTAATCCCCATTATGTGCAAATATATTTACAGATATAATGGTATGTCCAATTATGACATTAGATGTGTCTCCAAATATGACACTATATGAGTGTGTCCAATTATGACATTAGATGTGTCTCCAAATATGACACTATAAGAGTGTGTCCAATTATGACATTAGATGTGTCTCAACACTATAAGAGTGTGTCCAATTATGACATTAGATGTGTCTCAAATATGACACTATATGAATGTGTGCAATTATGACATTAGATGTGTCTTCAAATATGACACTATAAGAGTGTGTCCAATTATGGCATTAGATGTGTCTCCAAATATGACACTATAAGAGTGTGTCCAATTATGACATTAGATGTGTCTCCAAATATGACACTATAAGAGTGTGTTCAATTATGGTATTAGATGTGTCTCCAAATATGACACTATATGTACTATCATCTACAACTTTCTTCTGGCCTGTAACTCTAGTTGTGGTCAAAGCAGAAAGAGACATATCAATTACACCATTCAAACTTTCAATACCAAACTGAACAGATTGTGAGGCAAATTTCTCATTTTGACCATTGAGCAGGTTGACCGAGACCATTTGGTCTTGACCCATCAAACCAAGTTGACAAGATACATCTTCATTGATGTAAGTCTGAATACTTGCATCGTCAAGCAATGCATTTACAACAATACTCTTGTCACGGGACTCTACATTTTTTACTACAACAGGTACTGTGGGCAAAGAGACAAGCTCTGTCTTGTGACAATGTGTAGATGACATTGTTGTGACCTTAGAGTCACGACCTTGAGATTTAACTGAGTCATGCTGCCTTTCAGTGCAAGAATTGTCTATTGAAGTAACAGAGTCACTTTTAACAGTTTTAGCTGCACTGCTGCGGATACTTGAATGTAATAAACGACTATGTGGAGCGTCGCAATTGTCAATACCACAAGTGTTGGTCAAATTGCATTTCTTGCCAAAATGATTGGAGCCTAAACATCTGTAGCAAAGGTTCAGCAGTTTTGCTATTTCCCATCTCCTTGGCATAGGCGTAGATTCGAACTTGGCACAGCTTGTGATATTAGAGTGGTTCATTTGACATATTCTACACCTCTGGTCATATTCAGCTTGTCTGCCTGAGAGAACAACCCTGTTTTTCGTACGTCTCTATTCATTGCACTACCCATTTTGGAAACCCCACGAACAGTCTCTGAAGCAATAGTACGAAACTCTGCTTCCATCAATAGCCACTCACGCAAAGCTTCAACCGACTCCTGTCGTTGAGTCTCATAGATCCATTTTTGGTAATTACCAATCATTGATTCTGTCATTTTCTTTAGTAGCCGTACATACAGTGATCCATAACCTAACTCCTCAACCTTATCAGATTCTTTCATGTTCACCACTACCAAATCCAACATATCTGCAAAACGGTCATCAGTTGCATTGCCTGGGCGAACTGGTCTGAAATTAGATATTTCCTCTAGTTGCAATGCAATATGACGCCGCATTCCCCAAACTTCCTATCTAATCTCTCTAAAGCAACGTCATATGCCGTGGCACTGTGCCCTAAATCCTGAATGACCTTCAAAGCTTCACCCCCTACATACTGACGAAGTTGAAGCAACTTGTACTCAGGAGTAGCAGGTGCTTGGTCTATACAAGCAATAAACGCGGCCTTCTAAGCCCTATATGCTTTAGCATCACCAGTAAATACTGGTATTGATACGCGTTTCCACATATCTTTGCCAATGTCATTACAGTGAGAGGAAGATGTGTGTTCTGATCAGAGCTATCAATAACTTGCCTAGAACGCTGGGTTTGTGGTAATTGTAACTGTTGGGGATTAGGAGATAAGGGTTCAGTTTTACCTCTTGTTGAACATTTTGATGTAGCATCTGACCTTGATTTGAGATAACACTGGGCTTCATTTTGAGCGGCTGTACCTATCTCATCTACATGTTCACCTTCTAGCATAACCTTTACACTGTTGTCTTTATCACCTAAATTTTCAAACAACTCAGAGAGCTCAACAATAACCTCAAGAGCTTTAGACTGACAATCATTGACTTCATCAATTGCATCCCTAACGTCCCTTTGTAACGAGATTTGTTCACTATCAATCAGTTTCTCTATTGATAATATTGTAAAGAAGCAGGCTCTAACCATCAGCTGCGTCATCACCCACCACCCTCCACACACGCACACACGCACGCACACGCACGCACACACACGCACGCACGCACACACACACACACACACACACACACACACACACACCAAAAAAAAACCCCACCATAGCACAGATCAACCTTGATTTTAAAATCTACAGACGTTAGGTGCTCATAGGCCTGGTGGTCATGGTTTTCGGTACTGACTACCACGAAAATTGTTGATATGCCATTTAAGTAGCATCTAGTCCTAAAGTACTGTCGGAAATGCTAGAAAAATGCTTTTTAGCCTTAATATCTTTATAAAGGTGATAAATGTACTATGCTGTCAATATATCAACTCGCCTATAGTGTACCTAATTTTTATTTCAATCGATTTAACATTCCCATGCATTTAAAGGGCAGTTTACAGGAGAGAATTTGGTAACAAACAACAACTTAAGATTTTTTCAGGGTTCAACAACAGAAATATGAATAGTCTTTACATTTATGCTAATAATACAGGTGGTGTAAAATATGAATTAACGTTTCTCTTAAACAAATAAATGTTGAATGTTTGTGTTACTTTACTTAATTATCGTTTCTTTATTGAAGAAATATTAATATAAATGTTAAGTCTTGATAAATAAGCTTCCCGTCATGCATGCACATTTTTATCACAGCGTCCACTATGGCCAACGATTTGCAGTCGATTGTTGCAAAGGTTTATAAGTTTTTTCTGCTTGAAAAAGACAGAGGTAAACCTTTCATTAGTTTAGAAAGGGTTTATTACAGAACTTGTAGAGCTGTTGGTATGTCTTACCAACAAGTTTACAATATTGTAAACAAATCAGACAAGACAGGGACCGTCTCAAAAGCAAAACGGGACGTAAAGCCATCCTTGACAACTTTGACAAGGGAGTGCTTAGACGGGCGGTCTACAAACTTTATGAGAAGAAGAATATATATATTCTAAAGAAGCTACACCAGTGTGTTAAATCTTTCGCCAATGTACACAACAAGATTACACTGACCGAGTTATATCCATATTTTTGCAATGAAATATACTGTTGACATGCAAAACATTTACTAAAACGTTGCACATTTCTACAATCAATCGACAAGATAACACAAGTGATAAGGATTCTTTCCAATGTACAGTAATTCGTATGTTTATTTCAAAACAAACTC